CCAAGGTTTTCTCTGGAGTCGACATTTCATGAAGTCATGAACACATGACAGACGTGTCACCTGTCCCAGGTGTGTCCCTGTGAGCACTGTAGTGCTGTGACCCTTCAGTTTGATTTACTCGGCACCATTGACAACAGGGTCTTTTTGGAACTTTTTATTCTCTAGATGATGGGATCCGGGTTCAAGAAATGCTGACAGAGATCACCAATCAGAAGACCGTGCCCAACATTTTTGTGAACAGAGTGCACGTGGGAGGATGTGACAGGACTTTCCAGGTACGCCCTCCCTCCCTCTCATCCTCCTTCTGTTCTCAAAAGCATTTAAAAGAGGCGGAAATGGCGCTCAGCAGTCTTTTCACTTGGTCATTTTGAAGTTGTAAAGTGGACGATCCCTTGGGATGGTTATCAGCGAACCCTGGTGACTTTATAGGAGATGAGCTTTTCTACCCACCTGAATTCAGGAGCAAGAAGGAGAGCGTTTCTGAATGAGGTTACCAGGCCACATAGGTGTGTCCCCTGGGGCCAGGCCAGGCCTGCTCCTCCTCGTGGGGAGAGAAAGGAAGTCTCTTCCCCTGTAAAATGAGGTCAGCACCCACAGTCTTGTCCAGGATCATCAGAATTCTTGGCAAGGCCGCCGACCCGGGATGACTAATTTGCTCAGGGCCATTGACATTAACTTTCTCATCCATAGGGGTGGAGACCTTGCCTCGCTCGCATGAGGCACAGGGTTCCATCCCCAGCACCACATACAAATAAATAAATAAAATAAAGGTACTGTGTGCATCTACAACCAATGTACATATGTGTATCAGTCGTAGATGTTCTATATGGATTATTTTTATTTCTAAAAATGCATGAAATGGACAGGAGTCCTTCTGTTAGGAAGTAATCGATAAAAAAAATCAATATTTATGGGGCTGGGGATGTGGCTCAGGGGTAGAGTGGTAGCCTCGAATGCACAGGCCCTGCATGGGATCCTTTGCACCCCACACACAACTAAAAAACAATCCTTAGCTTATCATTAGTTTATTAATTAAAATTCCATTCTCTTTTGTGCATGAATGCAAGTGTTAGCCACCAGCGATGGACTAAATACTGATTGGAAATCTTTTTTTTTTTTAAAGAGAGAAAGAGAGAGAGAATTTTTTAATATTTTTTTTTTAGTTTTCGGTGGACACAACATCTTTATTTTTTGTGTGGTGCTGAGGATCGAACTCAGTGCCCCGTGCGTGCCAGATGAGCGCGCTACCGCTTGAGCCACATCCCCAGCCCCTGAGTTGAAATCTTAATTAAGAATCATATTTTGGTTGGGAAAGAAATGATGGTGTGCATTGCATGTGAATGGGCGATC